GAGCACGAAGAACAGGAGGCCAAGAGAGCCACATGGATACTCTGCGGGAATGGATGGAGTTTGTGGGAACGTTATCAGGGCTGCCACATGGATGCTCTGCGGCAATGGATGAAGTCTGATCTGGACGTTATCACGGTTGGAAAATCGCCTTTTCGAAAAAAGGCCCTATTACCCCCCCGCCCCTCCACGTCCGAGTTTGTCGGCAGTGCCAGGGTTTTCCTGGCCTGACAAGGCGAAAAGCGTGGGATTGGTTACACAGCCGTTACCAACAACAACTACTACTACTACTACTACTACTCCTGCTGCTGCTGCTACTACAACAACAACTACTACTACTACTACTACTGTAGTAGTAGTACTACTACTACCTACAACTGCAGCTACATACCACTACCACCACTACCACTACCACCACCACCACCACCACCACCACCACGACTACTACTACTACTACTACTACTACTACTGCTACCACAACTTTACTACCGCCACCACTACTACCACCACCTTCACCACCACCACCATGACCACGACGACGACGACGACAACTACTGCTGCTACTGCTACTGCTACTGCTACTGCTACTGCTACTGCTACTACTACTACTACTACTACTTCTACTGTTAGTACCTATGACGACGACGATTAATTACTACTATAGTACCAGTACCACACCACAAAATACCACGATTTCCGCCGGCTCCACCAGCATCGCCATGACTATCACTCCCAACGACCACGACGATCACGCCTGCTGCTTGCTACGCCGACGACTAACTAACCGATGCTGGTGTAAGTCCTATGGCTGCATGTGACCATCAATCACGATGTACACTGGCGACGCGACGCATACTGCTACTCACTCGCCATCTCTAAACTGGCTCTGCGGTCCGCCGGTGGTCGGACGATGCACATGTCTTGAGTCTTGCGTTTGAAGAAGCCTGTTCCATGCGGCTGAATGCCAAGGGAGAGAGACACAAAGGGCGGTGGAAAGCTCCACCGTGGCTGTTGTTGTTCCCTCAGCCTGCAGCATTTGCTCTCGCCGAGCAGCCTTGGAAGAGTCGGAAGATTCGCAGCAAACGGATCGCACGAAGTGTGCTCGCTGCTCGGAGTACATGCACTGCTGCCACTTCTGCGTCTCCACCGACAAATAAAGTAATGTCTGCGATGCCCACTGCCACCAAAGATAGGTCATACCAGCCCGAGAAAGTACGGAAAAGTGCCCATCCTTGAAGTCCCATCCGCAGCAACAGCTCGATTAGAAAGACAGTGTCGAAGGCAATGTCAAGACTGCGGAGAGGGAGGTTTAAGTCTTGCAAACTGGTGAATGACGAGCTCTCGCCTGCGAGGTGCCCAGCGGCTCTTCCCTGCAACTCCAATTCCACGCACATAAAAATCAAGTTTATGGCCAGCACAAAAGCTGTGAAATAGTCGAGGTTGAAACGGAGCCACATGGCCAACCTGCTCAAGCAGCTCTCTTCCTCCGTCGGTGGCCTTCCCATCACCGATGCCCGCCCGACCAAGTTGTGGGAAGAAGGGCTGATCATGCGCTGCAGAGTGTCCCCTGGGTCCTGCAAAGCGCAGCCCGCATCACAGCAAAAGACCGGGGCAGAATCAGAGCATCATCGGAATCATGACGTCGCACAGTGCTTAAACTGAAGAAGTTTACCTTGCTGGCCAGTCGAACACTAATCGATCGTGGTGTGGACTGCCAGAGTTATAGAGCTACAACTGATGTTCGCATGTCGAATTGTGTGTATGTCTGCCGCTGTGTATGCCTGGTTGTATCGTAGCATTGCAGAGCAAGTCACCGTGGACAGGAATAATGACACGGACCTAAGCAAACTGCAAACCATGCTTCAACAGTGTCGAATACCAGAATTATGTACACAGACTCCTTATACTCAGTATGACACCGATACTCTGGAGAATCTACTTAAAGCTGCCATTCGCCGAAGGGATGGGAACCTTAGCATGCAAACTTGGAACCAGGTCGCAGACGGTGAAGGTAGTATACAAAGGGGCCTGAAGACCGATGATGAAAGGCGACCGCGGCGATGAGTCACTCCTCTGGCTTTCGTCGACAGTCTCGACAGTCCTGGGATTCGCAACGTCCCATCAAATGTTACGATGTTTCGTGCATAAAAGCCTCCGACACCATGGTCGAAAATGCAGGTCTGCGCAGGGCAGGTAAGCAGGCCTGGCCAAAGCCTACATCTGCACCTTTCTAACACTGAATCGATTCTTGCTAGACGAATATTTGAGCATGTTCTCTCTTTTCAAAGCTGGCACTGCTGCCGAAGATGCAACTTCTGGCTAGTGAAATGAATGAGGTCAAGCATGCGAGCCACGCCCTGCTGAAATGGTGAAAACTGTCACGCGATTCATGCGCCAATAGTAGGGTGAGCCGTCGCAGTGATGGCGTTGGCTTTGGCGCGTGCAGATGTGCTCGTGGTGGTGACGATGGTAGAGGTAGCAAAGACGACGAAGAGAAGTAGCTTTGTAGAAGTGGTTGTGTAACAACCAGTCGTCGTCGTCGTTGTCGTCGTCGTCGTCGTCACCGCCCTCGTCTTCGTGTGTATCTTCATCGCCTGCGGCTTTCTCCGTCATCACTTGTTCCATTCGTACTGGGAGTCGTCGCGGTAGTCGCAGTGGTGGTGCTTCCGGAATGAAAACCATGATTGCAAGCAGAACCCTGTCAATGCAAGACGGGGGGCACATCGCTGTCAATCTTCGCAGCTGGCGACGGTGGCACAGGATCCGCCTGAAAGATGAAAAGCACTCAAGAATGCGCAAAGGTTCTACGATGTTCTACGGTAGTCACTGCTGCAGAGAGCTGGAGAGCCTGCTCTGCAAGCTGCGGTGGTTGCGTCGGCCGAACGGAGCTGACGATCAGCATCGGCGAAGCCAAGCCTTCTGCCTGGCGTCTCGTGGTCATGCAGTGATGCTGGAAGTAAGCCGATAGCCAGTGGCTTGCAGTATGTACTGCATGAAGTGTCCCTGCCTTTTCGTGCACCTCCTCATCCGTTTCCGGAAACTGCACGTGTGGGTCCCAGTCCTGCAAGCACTCTGCAACACAGCTCACGTGTCGAAATGGGTGCACAGAGTGATTGGGCTCAGGGCTCGTTTGTGCACACAGAATAGGCTCTTGTCGCATGTGCAACTTCCCGTCCGCAAGCTCTCGACCTTAGCAACCCAAGTCCTTGATACTTCGCTCGATAGCGCTGAACCGCTCCATGACAGATTCCAGCCAGCGTTCGTGTTCTTCATCTGCGAGCCTCGTGGGGATGTCATGACCGCAACCGGGGAGGTTCAAGACTGAACGGATGAGATTCCAAGCGTGCGGATGCGGTGCGAATGGCACATGCATGTCAGAACATCTGCAAAAGCCTTCTGGCTGGTAGTAGCGGACTCTTGCTGCAGGCAGCCAAGACATGGTCACAATACTCGAATGAAGCGCATGCCACGCATGCCTGAGCAGCATTTCTCGAGCAGCACTGGCTTCGTCCAGCAGCAGCTTTGCTGTCGCCATCGCCGCGCTGGTGCAGACTCAAACTTCCCCTGTACTAGACACTGTAAATGGCCAATATACATACAGCTTCGACAAATATACTGTCCGCAATCATCATTCTAGCTGCACCTGTGCAGAACTACAACCGTCATTCCTGGGGCTTGAGCTGCGTGAATCGGAGCAGTCTTCGAACAGGCAGATCTATCTGTCTGTCTGTGCGAACTTTTCAGTGTTATAATATAACTTATACAACCCTCCCACTTCCACGGCAGCAGTTAGTTCGGTGCCTGCAGGCAAACAAAAAACGGCCGTCCAAGCAAACTGCAGCAAGCCAGCCTCACACAGGAGCTTGTAAAAGCAGCCAGAGCGCAACAGTAGAGCCCAGCAGTGTTGACCTGATGGCAGTCTTGCGGTGCTCAACATGCAGGGATCTAGACAGCCTGAGCAGCCGTAAACAAGCACCTAACAGGCGAGCAGAAGGCCTTGTCCTCCTCCAAAGGATACTCTTATGGCGTCTGCACCTTGACACTGTCACATTCATGCGGCATGTAGGAATCTGGGAACTGTGCTCCTGCGCATTCCACAGTGCAGAATGGAGCGACTGCACCCGGGGAAAATGATTGCAGCAACAGACAATCCACCAAGGGCCTAGCCCTCAGCCAGGATTGCCTGCAGAGTCAACGTATACAGCCAATGCCTGCATTGAACGCTGAGGGTTTCGCGGCTGTTCATCGCAGAGACACATCTGCTGCATGGCCGAGCGCTGGCTCGAACGGCTGGCTGCTACGCAGAAGTTCATTGATACGCAGCCCGAAGCGTTCCAACACAGCTCGGGCTGTGGCAGCGTTGATGTTGAACGCAATGAACAGGGCTCCAACTCCCTGCCATCGCATACCCACAAAAGCGGTCAACGGCGGTGAGGCAACATGCGAATCGACCGTGCTGACTTGGGTGTATGTACTTTCTGGCCAAACGAGTGCATGCAACCCAGGCAAGCATTTCCGCAGTACTTGCAACTGTTTTGGGTTTTGACGAAAATGCAACATGCCAGCAACACCTCAGCGGACACAACGGATGTCCCCGACCTGGGCTGCTCATCATGTTTGAGCATTTTACGGGTTCACGGTTCCTATGGTTCCTGAGATAAGGGCGAAGCCTTTTACTTTTATAGTTCTTGTGTGGGTTGCGAAGTGGCCTCTTTCGCACCTTCAACCGCTACTGCTGCTACTGCTACTGCTGCTAGTAGCAGCAGTAGCAGTAGCAGTAGTAGTAGTAGTAGTAGCAGCAGTAGTAGTAGTAGTAGGAGCAGTAGTAGTAGTAGTAGTAGTAGTGGTAGTAGTAGTAGTAGTAGTAGTACGGAAACGCTGTAAAAACCGTGCATTAGAAACATCTAACACAAAGATGCCAGCTATACATGGGAGGGGCTCGCCAACACCCTTAAAGCTGCGACCTTGGCGTAGGAGGACTTGCTTTGAAGTGGTGCGTGGGGTGTGCGCGCTAGGGTGTGGAGATGTTGTTCGGGGTGTCCGCGAAACAGCGTCGTGATCATCCCCGAAAAAAGCTCTCCCCAGCCAATTTTGAGTTTTCGCCGAAAGCCCTCCGAAATCCGAATGTCGAGTTTGGAAAGTCCAGAAGTAGGCGTGGTGACGACAGAAGATGGTCCGCATCATGAAAAAACCGTAAAGACCGAATAAAACGGCTCTTCTGGAGATATTGTTCGGTCGTCATCAACCCCCCACCCCCACCCCACCCCCAAGAATCAAGTCAAAACACCAAAGCTCAAGTTTGCAAACTCGACAAGTCGATTTTGAGGCTTCATAAGATGATCCTACATTACGAAAGTGCTGTAAATGAATACAGAGTGAAATGGATGTTGTCTTGCCATGTCTAAGACCACATGTAGTTGGTAGCGGTGGGGGTGCCTAAGACTACAGTTACCACCACCACGACTACGACGACGACGACTACCACGACGACATATACTCCTGCTACTGCTACTGCTGCTGCTACTGCTGTGTTTACTGCTACAGGTACTGCTACTGCTACTTATCACTATGCCTCTTCCTCCTCCTCCTCCTCCTTCTCCTCTGCTGCTTTGTTCAGACATAAACGACCAGTAGCAATTGCAGTTCTGCAGTCGTCGCCCCCCATCGACTACTTGCAACTACTGTGAGAATACGACCCTCGACTTTGACGCGTCCTTTCATACAGCATCTGCTCTTCTTTGTCGTTTGGTGTACCGGCACAGTTCCCCTGCATCCTCTGCAACTGAGACCCCGGCTCGAGGAATCGCAGCGAGGCTCTGCGGAAAGCCTCCTCCGGCTTGCACAAGCCATGGCAAGACGAATCCAATGCACGATCCTTTCGAGTCGCTAAGTCGCAAGAAAATATCCCAGTGTCTTCAGGAATGGCCTGTCGACCGCCGGCACTTCGCGCTGCAATGCCAAAGTTTGGCAGAACTGCCATTCCCTGGGAAGGCACAAGCCACGACGGTCTTCCCGACTAGACTAGAACCCACCGATGCCAACAATTCCCCAGCAAGGCCCCCGACTTTGCAGAAAACCCTGCTGGAAGACACTGACGTCACGCATCGAAAGACTGACAAAAGTCGCCTGGCATGCTCTTTTCTCCCATTTTCGCTGAGGACATGTGGTCTACTGAACGGTGAAACGGCCTGCGGCACGTTGCTGTCAGCAGCATGTCCCCATTAAAGTGACTTACAGCGGGTGTGATGTGCAGAATAGAGTAAAGACTCTTCGATGTCGCCTTAATGCATTCTCACTTCCGACGCATCTACACACTACACCCGCTTTGCTCTGATCTCCCCTCCAAGGTCACTGTGAAGCCTCAGCAGACAGGTGTCCGTTGCTTCGCCAACCTCGTACCTTGTACTGCCTTCCTGGAGCCGTTGGTCTGACAAGAACCCTCCTCGCCGGTCTCTTGGCAGTAACCCCTTTTGTTTTCGCCGATTTCGATCTCTGCGCTTCTTTGGCGCTTTTTCGACAGGCAAGACCTGCTCTCAACTTCGCCTGGCCGCCTCAAAGCTTTCGAGCAAGAGCTCTGCAGCCAGCAGCCGCCGTCGCGTCTCCAGCAAGCATTCCTCCTTTCAAGTGTCTGTGGCTGGACCCTAGCCGAAGCTCGGATCTTGAGATGAAACTTCTCAGCTAAGAGAAGTTCCTGACTTGGAAACGCCTGGTTTACATAGGATTCATGTTGTGCAGAACCTGGCATGACCACGGTCTGACTCGCAAAGTGCAAGAAGCATGTCCAGTATCTCGGCTTCCCGCTCAGCAATGACGGCAACAGCTGCAAAAAGGTCGCTGTCCTGTGCTCTGAACTCTTCGGCTGCATCATGACTTCTCTTTCTAAAGATTTGGAGAGACGTACTGTTGCTGGATTCACGGTAGGCATGGAAACTAAAGATCGCCTCAGGGCTCAAGCTGTGGCTGCTGATCAGCAAGTCAACTAAGTTGAATCGAGACATCTTTGCTTTGGCCGGGCCAAATAGAAACCATGAGGATGAAGTTTTGAACGGTTCCAACCTCACCTGTGGATCGGCGCATTATCAAGACTAAATACCTGGGTTACCCGTGCCTGTAACATATACTGTACAAAATAAACCAAGCAATGTATAATGATATGGCGGTACAACCTATACCAATATGATAGATAGATGGATGGATGGATGGATGGATAGATAGATCGATAAGGGGAGGGAGGAGGTGGGAGCCCGCCGGGGCGCAACAATATCACACACAATATCTATCTATATATATATAGGTGTGTGTATGTATATGTATATGTATACGTATATGTATGTGTATGTGTATGTGCATGTGTATCTCTATATATATATGCATATATACATATGTATATATATATATGCATATATATATATATATCTGTATATGTGTGTGTGTACATATCCCAGTATGTGATATATGCATAGAATATAGAAATATGTAATATCGGTGTAGGGAGTTGTGCGGAACCCAGCGTGGCAGGCAAAGGCAGCTGCCAGTCCTCGGAGGGAGCACACCTGCGAATTTCTGGTGTTCAGTTTTTGGTTCGTGCTTTATAGTAGCATCTAGGGTTTTTTCCCTATCTAGGGTTTAGGATTTACATAGGGTTTAGCATGAGAGGAGATTATGGTATTGAGAAGATGGAGCTCGACGTGACACAGGGCGAAGCCTCTGCCAGCGCGATGGTGTCCGGGAGAGAGCCGCTTCCAGCCAGGCTACCAGTACGGCCAGCGTGGCCACGTCATGGTTGGGGGCGTGATCCCTGGCAGCACACCTACAGCAGCCCAACCGGAACACTGCCTGCACATCCCACAACCAACCCGCGGCTCCTGCCTCTTTCTGTGGCCGCGCCGTCTTGTCTGCTGCTTTGGCGGAGGCACGTGCGGGCGGTCCAGGTTGGGTTGAGCCTCTACACTGGTCACTGACACGTCAAGAATCACTACGTTCGCTACAGGAAATTCCTTTTGGAAAGGCCAGCGCTGCATCACCCCGAGGACTAGAAAGAACTGATCTGCTTGGTAGGCCAAGATTCTACAAGAGCAGCTAATTGCCAAAGGGGTGCATCACGTCCCAAATCGCCCTCAGCTTCTGATTGCTCTTCTGGATTGGAGGGCTACGCCGCTAATCCGCAGTCCGCCTCTCTGCCAAGCTTCCGGAAGTGTGAAGAGCAGCGGCTTCGTTAGGTCGGTCCAGCCCCAGTCACGCACCACATTGCGTACCTCTGCTCCCAGCACATCAGAATGGATCTGAATCCCGGCTACGTTGTGGAAGTTCGAGGCTGCTGGAGGAATGCCATACTGGATGAGCAAGGCTGCATCCGGCGCCGCAGAGTAAACAAACGTGAGCTCTTCGCCTTTGGCAATGCCACGATCTGCCACCATGACCACACAGCCATGTCTCTCTTGATAGGAGCACGTGAAGGGAATCTTGCCCCCTTCGGAGCTTTGATGGTTGAAGAGGTCGATGAATGGAAGCAGCCCTAGAGATGACACACCTGCGGTTGGTCCTTTGAGGGCAAAGTTTCGCGTGATGACTGCAGCCAAAGCCCAGCACCGCAGCTCAAGACTGCAATCAGGAATCTTGGCCAAAGCCTCCAGGCATTCTCTGTTCAAAGACCTGGCTTCCATGTAAAGCCGTTCCACCATAGGGCTGGCCTTTAACAGCTCCAAAGGCCACCTGCGCCTCAGGGGATGCAGTGGTGGAGGCAGAACCGAGGGGGGCGGCAGAGCTGCGCAGTAGGCCTTGAATGGAGAATTATGACCTGCCGGCTCTCTCTCGCTCTCGCTCCCTCTCTCCACTATCTTTTTGCGGGTGTTTAGCAGAGAACCTCCTACCACTCCCACCTGCGTGGTACTCTTCGATCAAGCGTTCAGCAGCTTTCGTCACTGCGGCGCGGCCCGCCGGAAAGCCCATAACATCGTACCACTGGCCATGACCTCCAGCAGCGGCTGCGAAAGGAAGCGCTTCAGCTGGCCGGGGCTGCACAGCGAACGGGACCTCCAAAACAAGTCGGCGGGGAACTGAAGCAACCACCTCACCCTTCTGGATTGCCCGGCCGGCAAATACACCAAAACCATCGGACGACTCTCGCACGACGAGCAGTTCTGGATCCAGGTCTGCTCCCTCGCTTACCAGGTGATGCCGCAGGTCCTCAAATTCTCGAAGAGTCCGGTGGTCCGCCAAACAGCCATGTCTTCGGACCAGAGGTCGCAATGTCTGCCATGGAACGCGGGCACTCAAAGCTCGCATCCTGCATCTGCATGCCCCTAGCACCAGCTGCCATGAGCCCCTGTTGCTTCAACTCGAAGGTTGCATCAGGCAGTCGTGTCGCCAATGCTGTGCTGCTGAGCCTGTGCCTGTATTGTTGCTGCCTGCTTTGGGAGTGCATGGTGTCAGAAACAGCATGTCGTCTCCTCCACAACTTGCTGCCTGCATGTTCTATGTTCATGCAACGAAAAAGGCAATGCAGCAAACCCACGTCTTGCAGAGAGGTGTGTGTTCGTGCTCGGCTTAGCGTCCAGACTGCATCTACCTGTGTGTACACCTTCGGACAACACAGATCCTTCGAAGAGAGCCCTTTCTGTTGTCACTGCTGTTGACTGTACCCTGTAATTACGTGCGTCTGTATGTCCGTATGCATGCATGCATGTAACGTGATGTCTTGTCATGTAGGGTAACGTTTGCCGTCATGTAATATGCAAAATACCTGCAACTGTAGCGCAACTGCATGTGCAATGAGAATCCAATGTACGTGCAACGTAGTGTATCTGGCGGTTATGCGATTGCGCTGTAAATGCAATGTTTTTTAACATGCAATGTAAACCCACTGTAAATGTACTGTGGTGTAGTGTCATGAATTGTCATGTCGTGCGATGTGATGCAACGTCGTGTGATGCTATGGTCTGCTATGTTACATGTTGAGAATATGTACGAGTGTATGCATGTTGTGTACGAACATACGATGTGAATCGGACTACCATGCCCGACTCACACGTGACCGAAGCATCTCAGCCGAATCTCAGCTCCGCGACTCGCTTGGGTCCAGGAGGCTTTCGCGCTGTTCAAGGCAGAGCCTCTCCAGCAAAGCCTGCCGAACATCAAAGCTTTGTTTTGTTTAAGAGGTTCTCCAGTAAACCTATACTGATCTCACCTATGCCCGTACATGGAATTCAGAGGGAGTGTCGGTTCCAAAGCTGCTTGCAATTGGTTTGCCATTCCCATTCTGGTTTGGGATAGTCGAGGCAGCTGACAGAAGAGCTTCGGTCGACAACGCGAAGAACTGCACGAGTTTTTGTCTCTGGTAGGCGGGTCCCTGCTGCCTGTCTTCAGTTGGAACTACATTCCACAACTCTCCAGCTCAATTTCTTGAAAAAGTCGTAGGCTCCACTTGATGTAGGTTTCGGAATCGGCAAGCAACCATTGTCGGCGAGATCTTTCGCAAGCTCAGAGGGAGCGCCAGCTGTGCTACCGTTCACTTCGCGTGCACTATCATGAACTCCGTCAGAAAATTAGCTGGATGAGCTGGCCGTGCGGCCGTGATTTCTCCAGGATAGCTCACCCCGTGCCTTGCAGCATGCACGCCTGGAAAGAGGATACCATCATGCTGACTTCTTTTCAGATGCTGCTTCGCGGCTGTGCCCGAAGGTATACGGTATAGGTGCAGCGTTGAAGTCCCCGGTGCACAAACTCCAGATCTCCGGCGAACAAGTCAGGATGCTCCACCCTGCAGGATTCTTGTAAATGTATTCTGCTTGGGAACCGGCACATATCCATACCATGTGCAGCAAGCTTGTCGAAACTGCAAGATAATGCAGGATCAACCCGCATCGTCGGCCGAACGTGGCATTGCGAAGGCACTTTACCTTCTCAGGCTGACCGGATGTCCTTCTTCTGCCTGGCCTTGGAATCTCCTGCAGACTTCGGAAGGACAGCTCACGTCTTTCTTCCTCCATCTGCATCGCACCATTCGTCCGTCTCGCCTACCTGACGGGAGCTTCAAGGGGGGAGTGGAAAGTTTCTACCCCAGAAGTTTGGAAAGACAGCTTTCCAGCAGAGCTTTTCTACACCCCTTGCGCTGCGTAGACTCGCGTCCAAAAATTGAACTAGCAGAGAATGGAACAACAATCGCAAAACCAACATTAACAACAGCCTCAGACGATATCGATCACCACTCACGACCCTAAATTCACAGTGTGAACCACGCGTCAATCTGCCCAGGCCTGTTCTGGGGCAGTTGCGTGCTCAGCGACCAGGCGTCGAAGCGAGAGCTCCAGAGGGGAGCCTGCGAAAGGGGCAGAAGGCAGAGAACGTGCACAAGTAGCTAAGCTGTTCAAGTACGGTCCGGTAAAAAGGGAGCATCCAGCAGGTCGACATCACCTCAGCCTTGACTTTGCCCGTCGTAAATCTGTGGACATCCACATCATGTCAGGAGTACCGTGATCATAGTCATCATCATTAGTGGCTAACATCGGCATCATCATGTGACAGCAAAAGCACTCTCAGCCGTCTCATCAACACGACGCATCATCACTTAGGGTTATCACTTATCAGCACCACCACCTGTCAGGATTACCATCAGCATCCTCGCAACGGTACAGCAGCATCAGCTATCATTTCGCACCTAATCATCGCGAGCTTCTCATCCTGGAAATAGTTTTATCTTCGTTTGGCTCTGTGTTCCGCTCCTTTTGGTCACACACAAGAATTTCCAGGGACTATCCATCATGGTCCACATAAGTCAGTGTGCAACCTTGCTCAGGCAGCAGCATGAAATGGTGGAAAGCAGATATCAAGCTGTGATTACTATTGCTGCATACTGCCAGTGTTTTCGGGGTATCTCAAGGGCATGCCAATACGTTCGGTGCCGCCCCAGGCATAATTCCGTCCGGAAATTTGCGAGACAAGCTGCATGTCGTCGTGAATCTATTTGGCCCATGAAACCAAGAAGCCTTGTAGACAGGTGCATGTGCCTGCAATGCATAATTATAGATGCACACGCATATAGATAGATAGATAGATAGATAGATAGGGAGGGAGAGAGAGAGAGAGATCTGTACATAGATATATACAAATAAATTGAACAAATGTAAACACACACACACACGCATACCCGCACATACATACATTACATTACATTACATTACATTACATTACATTCCATTCCATTCCATTCCATTGCATTGCATTGCATTGCATTGCATTGCATTACACTACACTACACTACACTACACTACACTACACTACATTAAATTACATTACATTACATTACATTACATTACATACACACATACATGCATACATACATGCATACATACATGCATACATGCATGCATACATACATATGTACACACATACGCACGTACACATACATGAATACACATACACTCGCTTACAGTGGATGCGTCATCTCATATGATTTCGATCTCGGAGTTTCGCACATGTCTTGATACCCTAACGCCTAGTCCCACAAAGACTACAGCCTAAACCTTGAACTCAGAAACTCTAGACCCTAAACCCACAAACTGCAGACCCTACACCCGAAACCAGAAAACTCTTGACCCTAAGACTTCCGGTAAGTGGGTGTGAAGCTTCTAGAACAAGGGTCTTTGTGATCAGAAAAGTGCTTCTTGGAACGGTTCCTTTGAAGGGTTCCCCCAAGCCTTTATCAGGGTTTCATGGGTATTTGTAGAGGCATTAAGAATAGTAATAGTAACAGGGTGTTGGGATCGAATTAGTACTTATAATCTGCAGCAACAACGGACCTCGAAGCCCCCCCAAAACAGACCGAGCTCAATCATACTTTCCCTCACTGGATGGTGCCTGTCAGCAGTCGTTCTTCAAAGATGGCTCAAGTTCAACCCTGCAGTTCTCTCTTACGTGATGAAAAACGACTCAATTTAGTGATTAGAACGTTAAAATACACCAACCCTAAACCCTAAACGAGCATTTTAGTGATTCGAACTTTAAAATACTGAACCTGTTCCCTCAATTCCGCAACCCTTTTTGCGTGAACCCTGAGCCACACAGCTTCCCAACGTAACCAGCAACCTCTCTCTTATGTATGTCTGTGTCTCTACTTATAGTTATACTGTGCAATATGAGCAATATTGACCTATATTATAATGACGTTAATTGTTATTACTGCTGTTGTTCTTATTATGACATAGTATCATACGCTGTTATATCATCTTATATTTTGTGGCATTATAGTACATTATATTGCTTTTCATCTGCTATGGTATATACTATTAGTTTGGACTATGGTGTGCTATACTGTATGTTATTCTAGTACTTGTATGTGCTATTACATTATGATATACTGTTTTATCTCATAACAAATTATGTATAATCACACTTTTGGTACTGTGCTGGATATTCTGTTTACACGCTTATCAACAATACTCCTATTGGTAGTACTTGCTGTTCCCATGTTTATGACCTTTTTTCCAGTCTTATTATGACTATTGTTTTGAACTTTTAAGCCTGAAAGACATCTGCGAGCCTTGTACTGCTTGACACCTGCACCGCTGGCCTGCCAGGCCGCAGGTCAGACCGAGATGCTAGAGCTGCTAAGGCTTAGGGATTGAGGTAGAACTTCTTAGCCCTAAATCCTAAGCCCGAAAAGGAGCCTTTAAAGGAAACCTATCAGATCCAGTACGGCCAACCTCGAAACCCGAAGGCCCAGTGATCCCCAAACCCCCGCCAGCCCTGAACCCTCGGTTTTGCTTTTGATTAGGGCTTAGGGCTTACGGTTACGGAGTTTTTTTGGGGGGTGCTTATAAGCTTTGAACTCTGCACTCTGAGCCGTGGGGGCACCAAGCCAGGCAGCCCCGGGAGTCGAGGTTTAGGGTTTAGGGGTTTAGGGTTTAGGGTTTAGGGGTTTTAGGGTTTTAGGGTTTAGGGTTTAGGCTTTAGGGCTTTAGGGTTTTAGGGCTTATTCAGGGTTTAGAGTTTTAGGGTTTTAGACGGTTAGGGTTTGGGATTTACGGCCTGCAGCAGCTGAGAAACCGACTCGGGTTGCAAGCTTTACTCTAGGTTGTTTGGAGGAGTTCAACACCCCATGGCTTGGTACAGACTCAATTCAACCCCTCCGAACCCTGTACACCCTCGCCTGTGTCACCAGGATGCCACCGGGATTGAGCTTGCTCTTGCACATCTCGTAAAACTCCTGAAGGGCGCAAGGTTTGGGGGTGTAGGGTCTTAGAGAATGAGCCCTGAATCGTTAGAAGCCTGGATTTTCGATTGACGAA